ATCGATGTGTTTACGTCCGATGATCACAGTAGCCAACCTGGATTTTTACAACAATTTATTATGTCAATCGTTCTAGGTGTTAAAAACTTTGCTGAATCCAATAAAATCTTGTAGCAGTTTACCATTCGAAAATCCCCAAGCAATCTGGTAACATCGAGCCGATATATACACAGCGAATACGAAGCGACATTTTACCTGTTTACTTTATCAGCGTCTTTTATCTAGCGTTGACATGGCTACCCCAAGTGAAATGCAAACGAGGTGTGCTTGATTTGGACGCGAAGGTGTCAATTATAAATCGACTAGAACATGGCGAAACCGTAAGCAATCTATCTATCGAGTATGGTGTTGGTAAATCGACGATATCCGATATCAAGGCAAAACAAAAGCTGCTGGATTTTTTCAGTAAAATGGATTCAAGCGCAGGACTGAAACGAAAGATAACGAAAACAGCCTATGACGATCGTTCAGAGAAATCCGTCTTCACTTGGTTCCGGGACTTGGTTTTCCCAAGAAAGAAGCAAAGGAACTTTATTATTGCTACATTTTACGGACATTTTAAAACATTTTTTAACATTCCAGCATGCAACATTTTTATACAATGTATTACTGATTAAATAAAAATGTTTTTAATGACGTACTCTACATGTACTATTGTTTGATTTCATTACAGTCATGTGCGTTAGAATTTGTGTGTACGTGAGACTGTGAACTTGAGCACGCCCACACAAGATCGCATATCCGAACTGTTTGCATAACCGAACAAAAAGCATGTCCCCCTAACAGTCCGGATAATCGACGTTCTACTGTACATTTTGTTTAATATTATTGATTGTATGAAATAAACTGAAAAGAAAATGCATATTCTATTGGTATTTGATGTGTCCCTCAGTATTAGTTTGATGTTTCTTAAGGTTGGACTGACTCAACGTTTGACTTCCTGTAACGATCATCAGCAACAAACATGTAACTGATAAAGTTTCTGTTTTGGTGTATGAAACAATATGACAGTGAAAGTAATGAATTGTTCACCATTCATGGGCTTTGCTTCAAACAATGCTAGAATTGCAACCATTCTATATAGACAATGTTATGTATTTGTTGTACATAGCCGACTATATTTCAGCATTATTTGTATGGTAATAAGAACTCATAGCATTACCATCAGGATTTTTCTTGACTCTTTCTAAAGATGGCCTCCTTCTAAATACCACTGTATTTTGCTCATGTTCATAGTCCTCCCCAACAAACTCATTCTCATACTGCCTCTGTCTAGGTGAAAGAGCTTTCTGAGTATGTGCTCGATGCTGCCGTTGTTGTTGTTGATGAATTTGTTGTTGATGGTGCATTTGTTGTTGTTGTTGATAGAGTTGTTGTTTTTGTTGTTGATGATAGAGTTGTTGTTGTTGTTGTTGTTGTTGTTGTTGATAAAGTTGTTGTTGATGTAATTGCTGAGGTGACTGAGGATGAGCTCTTCTTGGTGATGAAGAAGGGGATGAATTCTGAGTGGATTGTCTTAAACCTATCAAAACCAAAACATCAAAATTTAAGAAATACAGTTTCCTAAATATTTGAAAGAAGTTAGTAAGTTAATGAAGAATGAATTACATAATGATATTTTATGAAACCATTACTACACCAATACCAACCACGTACACACTCAATCAATAATTTCTTTCATTTTTAAACCCATACATGGAAATTTTACAAATAGAATGTAATGGTTTAAGAAAATAATTAATTTTAAACTAAACAATACAGCATAAAAATGCATGCCAATTGTTGCTATACCATATTTTCCGTATTAGAAGCGCATCTCCAATAAAACATTTACGACATACCAAACTCATTAATCCCTTGTTTACATGTCATACAGTTGTATACATGTATGTAAACGCATGTGCTTCTAAGAGGGCAAATACGGTATATAGAGTTCAATATTGAGAAAATGAATGGCATTGAATAGAACATGATATATATACAGTAAAAATCACAAAGACGGCCACTTCTGGCCAGATAGTGTGACCTGGGAGAATATCATATGCAGTGATGTAATACTTGTCTCAAGGTTTCACTCAATCTACATATATTTCAGAATTAGAGAAAAATATTCTGCCTTCAGATTTGCAATATTAGAACCATTAGAATCGTCTTACTGAATGAAGAATACATGTACACAAAATCAGAGTGATACTTTCACTGGTTATATAAGCAAGTTAAGCAGAAGTCAAAAAATTGATTTTGTTAACTTGTATTTGCAATAGAATTACAATGATTCACACAAAGCCTTCATATTAATTTGGTAACAGCCTATCATACTATCAAAGCGACAATAGCTATCATTTTTTTTTCAATAACACCTTTCCTGTGTTATTAGTGCCAATTTGTAATGGTCAGCGCTGAGACTAAGCCTCTCTGATGGTTTTTCCCTGATGATGTTATGTACCATTTATGTACCATAAATGTGTGCGTTGTGCATCTTAATTTTGTAGACCGATTTCAACAGAATGGCGACTACCTGACTCAAATCTCATTTTATATGACAGGGTCACTTTGCTCATGAATAGTGTCTAAATCAATATTTCAGTAACATTTTTATTTAAACAAAAACATGTTCAAAATCGCAGCTACTTTTACTTTAATTTCTTCTGAACTCTATTACATCAATGAGATTTTTATCCGGTCAAAAAACTCATCATGCATTGCTACCACGCTAGGAAACACAAAATATTTGATGTTTGCTAGGACACAGTGGCAGCATGAGTAAAACAAGGTGTTAGACAAGAGTGATGGGGAGTGATCACTCTTCTCAAATGGTATAACCTGATGTCAAAAGCTTCAATCAGAATACATGTTCACAGTAATGCATATACAGTTATTAAAGAGTAAAGTACACCAGTTAAATCCCCAGCAGTACAATATATTAGTGTAACACAAACAGTTATGACTATACTAATTTGAGGGTTGGCACTGTGTTAACTCACTCACCACTGTTAGCTCCTGATGGTAAAGATATTCTCCTACGTGGGGGTGGGGTGAGAGATCTCAGACTAGCTCTCCGTAAACCTATACACATTACAGAGTACAAAGTAACATAAAAACAAAAGAATAAATGACTCACATAATTATCAAAAACAAGGCAAATGAAAACACAATGAATACATTACATAACACAGCACAATACCAGCTTTAGAAGAATGTATGAGTGCGCCCTCTATCAATGATCTGTGTGTGTGCCTCACATGACAGTTTATAGGTACAACATGTGCAATTCAGTATTCCTTAAAGTGTGTACATTTTCAAATTTAAATATTTTATTTATATGAGTGACAAGCTAGTGTTATATCAAAGTGACTCCATTTGGTAATGTAGATCTAATCAATTCACAATACTTACTTTCTTCCTGCATTCTAGCTATTATCTGTACATCAGTAACATCTTCTAATTTACTCATGCCTATCCGTTCTTCATCTGGTAATACATGCCTTTCCTTCCTTGGCGACCTATTAACAGCAACCTCACCTCTTGGTGACCTGTTAACAGCAAGTTCACCCCCTTCACCACCACCTTTCAGGGCTATTGAAGACATCTGAGATGAACTTTGTACTGAAAACACAAAAGTGAAATTGTTATATTTTTAGGTCAACATCACATCATAAATAATTTTCATTTTATATTTTCATTATTAGGCATTTATTTCATATTAAAAAAAAACATAACCATAATATACACAATAGTTGGCAGAGCCATCTCGATGCTGGGAAAATAGGAGCTTGTTTTAATGAAATACATGAGGGTACGTTTTAATATTTATTCATTTTGGAAACTCAATTTTTAACTGAAGGAATTAAACTAAATTAAATATTCATGTTTGTTTATTTTGAACCTTAGAAATGACTCCTGTTCAACTCGGGACGTTTAATTGTACTTAGCGTATGTTACTATGACAATCAACTACTGCAAAGGGGTTAATTATTTACTGGGTTTTAATTTTGCTTATTTCACTGACTGGAAAATGTGCTAAATTAAAACCTAGTGAATATGTAAAATTTTGCATAGAACACATTATTTAAATGATAAAACAGTAAATTTTAAACCCACTGAATATGCCTGAAATGGTAAATCAGCAACATTTAAACCCCAGTGAAAATTAGTCATTTTACAGTAATTCGAAAAAAAACAGTCGACAATGACTAAATGCATGGCCACAGCCAGATCGCTGTTTAATTGAAATCAAAAAAATTGAAGAAAACAGAGAACTCTATGACAGGAAGAAAAACATGAGCGATGTAGTCAAACAACACACATTAAGGCAGCCATGTTTGTTTGACCACGATCAATACAGGATTACCCACGATGCACTATTCCCATAAGCATGGGTATGTGGAAGTTCATAGCCAAGCGTACTGCGATCAAGAACAAGGTCAGACAACCCGATTTGCCATCCATTTCCGGGTTTGTTTCATATAATACATGTATATATATATATATACAAGAAGATTGATACGCCCTAAACCGCCGAAGGTAAACATACTCCCGATGGCAATAGGAAGTTCGAAGGAAGCTAATAAAGCTGATTTATAACAGACAAAGTAAATAGAAATCATTTTTCCGTCTTCGTTGAGGCACAAACGTATTTAAATGAGTTGGTAAACAAGAGATGATGGCAAATCACACACTTAGACGTTGTGGCAAATTTACACACTATTACAGTTCGACTAAAGTTTACAAACACCACGGCCAGTCACACAAAATCCATCAAAAGTTGTGTTTGTTGTTTGTTTTTAGTTAATTAGTTGGGTGGTTAATTGCTTGATTGGTTAATTGATTAATTTATTTCCTTATTTATTTTATATCTGTATTTCTATGTTTAGTTCTATGTATTATTTATTTACTGTTATAACTAGTCTTTGTAACATTTTTTGTAATAATCAATTGTGTCAGGGGAATACTACACCCTTGTATTTTTTTTCCCATTGAAATAATTGTATACAGGGGAACAGACTTGTCTAGCATTACGATTGCTATCTTCTGTTACCCCAGCCATGGATCAGTTGCTCATTCTATTTTAATTATTTTTTTAATATCTATTGTATCGCAATGTACTCTCTCTCTCTCTTGTCGTATGTTTTTAATTCTCTGTACAACCTGTAATCTATGGCAAATAAATAAATACAAGATATCAGTGTTAATTGATTATTTTAATTAGGTGATTAATAAGCATAAATATTTACCAAAAACTAATTGGGTCTCTGCATAGTCCTAGGTTCATTGAAATGTGATGATCCAATTAGTGATTCTTTATAAATCAGTGGAACATTCATGGGAAAAATTAAAGCGAACCTAAATGCGGCCTTAATTTATAGTTGTGTATATTCTAAACTGTATTCAAAATAATATTGCAGTGGTTTAATTTTGTTTTTTTAACTGTAGCTTGGATAGGCATTTGAAGTGCTTGCGATTAAACACAATGGAGGTCATTCATGGAGGGGAATAAATAACGAACGAACATATTCAACATCCGGGTACTTTTCAAAGCTATGACGTTTTAGTATCTGATTGTATTCGTATACGCCATTGTACATAGCCGTTCATGCTGCCAAGCATTGTGTACTACTAGTATAAACTCAACTTTTATATGCACAATGTGCTTTTTAAAACTTGGGTTAGAGCCTTATGCGTTTGAACCACAGTATTCTGAGAGTGGAAGCCCAATTGCATTAAAGTACCGTACTTCCCCGATCGTAAGCCCCTAAAGATATTTTTTAAAGTATGCGTATTCTTTTAAATATTTGTAAAAGGCGTGTTTCATTTCATAATAATCGTGATTGGCATGGTAGTTTGGTTCGTGCTTTTAGTTTTTATGAGAAAACTCGCATTAATTTCAGAGTGCATGGTGAACGTACACAACGTGGTTCGCATCCTTTCTATTCTGTCATTCACTTAGGATGAACCCCGATGTTGCAATACTGGAGTAATCCATATTTCTTTGAGTAGTCGCTTTCGAAAAGCCAAAAATGTGATCGTTAAGTCGTGTACCTGGTTATTGGGCATGGTTTACTTTGAGACTATCATGAAAGGCCTAGGGTTTGAATGATGTGACATGATGTTGGCGACCGTGAAATGTGTTTAAATTCTTCCTCCACACTCAGTTTACCCACGGTTACTACAGTAAAATTCCTAATTGAGGCAGCGGCTTTAATTAAAATTCATTTTTTCAATGGACATATTCAGATGCGTGAAGTCTTGCTGCAGCTTTAATTAGAGCATTCACTTCGGTAACAGTGGGAATTTTTTCAAAAAACAAGGCCAGAAGGGATAATGATATGCTAATGAGATGCACGACACTTGATTGCAACTTTGTTGCAATTCTAAATGCACTTTAGGATTTTTACACACAGACAAACTTGTACACAAACGAAATTTCACACTGTATAACATACTGCACAATAAATAATATCTACAAATAGATTTGTATGCATTTGCAGATTACGGTACTGTATACTACAATCTCTTGAATAGACTAATTTGTTAGCACCGGTATAGGTCACAAGTGAGAGACAGCTGTCTGACACAGTTGATTGCGGCATGTTCGACTTCCGGCAGAGTGACTGTATATTCCATGTTTACTAGTAACTTAGACATCGGAGAAATTAAAATAAAAAAAGTCAATAAAAAAAAAAATGTTCGCATGATAACAAAAAAAATACTCAGTATATTATTTAATGTAATATATATTTATTTTCTTATTTTTTTTGATAACGAAAAGTATATTCTAAAAGAAGTCAAAATAAAAACGAATGCATTCTTAGTAGCAAATGATCACGGTAACGTCATGCTGCGTTTCACACAAGTGAATAACTTACTTGTTTTCAAAGTGTTACAATTGCTGATTATTACTCAGTAGTGATTACAATAACGTACAAAAAATAAATTTGTTGAATTGTTGTGAAAATTCAACTTGGTTTCACCGCAAGCGAATGATTTTGGTCACATATAAACGCTCGATCCGATACGGTATCCGCCATGTTCGTTCAAACATATTTAGTGACTTGAAACTGTTTTGTTGACCCGATAGGTCAAGTCACTAATTAACCAATCGAAACGCTGGATAGTGCCAACGTGATTAAATTACCATAGCTCATTTAAATATGTTAATGTAGTTCAGCAACCTCATGGTAAACGCAACATGGAAGAGATTTACCGTTGTTGTAGTGCGATCGTTTGGCTTTGATTTTGACGGGAAAACGGCATGATTTTTTTTTAAATCAAGAAATTAGTTGTTTTCGAAAGATAAGCTGAGCATTGAAGAAGAATTTAACACTTTTTAGACTCTAATCTAAGCGTCAGGAATCATTGAAATGTTCGAAAAATTATGCCTTAATTTAAAATTAAATGGTATATCTTTTTCTGAAATATGTGGTGGCTGTTTGGTTTGTGAAAGTTTGGGGTGCGGCATATATTGCAGACTTTTTCCTGGGATCAAAACTTGTCAATTTCAACATGAAACAATGTCTCAGGTTAGGGGTGCGGCTTCTATTAAAGCTGCGGCCTCAATATGATTTTTACGGTATTAGCCGTCGTTTATATTTTGGAAATTGCGAATCGCCAGTTTTTAGGAGAAAAATCATCGTTTTTTCGTTGCAATCAGTGCTACAGATCGCATTTTACATTGCAGTAATTCACTTCCGCATTGCGTTAAAAAATCGTCGTC